CATAACTGGTAATAAAACCCAAGAATGTAACTCCTCCAGAAAACATTCTAGTGAAGAAAGAGAGTAGTTGTGTATATTACTGGTGTATTTTCACAAGCCAAACCAGCACTGAAAAATACTTGGAGAGGTCACAAGAGAAGTATTAAGAGTACACATTATTTGATTTTAAAAGAAAACATTGTGAATTCTGTTCCAAAACGATTGCTACCCATTGAAGATAAACATGTACATTTAAGGTTTGGATATGGAACTTATTTCAGCTCAAACACCATATTGGTTCCAGACTAGCACATCAGGAGTGGCATGCAACAATGGGCTACACAGACCTAGAGTTTTGTCTGTGCCATCCTCAAATGTCTGGCATCTCCTAACAGAATGAGCTTCTGAGATGAGCAATGCTGACTGAACCACCATTTGAAGGCACCGTGAAGGGAAGTAATTCATTCAGTAGCCATTCACCTGCCACCTTACCCTCCCTTCTTCAAAGGGGAGAGACCTCTATAAGACAGATGGGTGGAGTTTACCAATGCCACACAAGCATCACTATGTGTACTTATTTATTGTTATTTTAGGAGTGTTGATCCCATCAAAAGTAGCTTCACTTCCCCCTTAGTTTTTGTACTTGCACCTCTATTCCAATTCATAGGGAGCTCATGCTGAACATAGCTGTATATGCAACTTTATGACGCACAAACAGATGAAAAAGGAAATAGCCAAAGGCATTAGTTCTTGTTAGCATCAAGCCAACTGGGAATTACACACTACTTTACCACTCTGGTGGGTTAAAGGAATTTCCAATGATCTGAAAAATAATAACAAAAATAATCTGGCTTTCTAAATCCCATGTAAGAACAGACAACCATTCTGGTATCTTAAGCAAAGAATCAGCACAAACACAGAGATTGGATTCACAATTATTTCAAAACCATGTTCCCATCACTGTTGCTATTTCCTCTAAAGACCCCTCCTCTAAACTATAAGCTCCAGAATTCTGCAGGGGGCAGAAACTGGATTTAAAGTGGATCCATGTTCTGGTGTGATGAGGTCCTTAATTGCAAGGCTGATCTAGGTTACTGATGTTAAGCTCTAGATCAGAATATCAGTGGTTACTCAGAAGATCTATAATAACAGAAAATTATTCCTCAATTATGATCTTTCCACCATTTCCTCTGTAAATGCTAGACGTTCTTCTTATGGCACACTTTCAGTGTTCTGGGAAATCACAGAACTTTAGGATTTGAAAGGATCAGAAGGGCAATCTAGTCAAATCCTATATCATGCACCAATAAATACAGGGAAGTTGTTTGGCTGTACCAACTCTCCTCTAAACTATGTCTCCTGCTCTACACAAGAAAGAATGGCCTTGTAATTCTCAATCCAGCACAGTTAGACTCAAGCAGATACCTACCCCAACCAGCTGGGTTGTGAACTGAATTGTGTATGCATATCACAGCAAACCCAAAAGATTTCCAGGAGCTAGAAATACATGTTTTATGAACCTCAATCTATGATTCTATGGACCTCAACCTGGACACAAACTAAAAGAATAAACTCACTCTCATTTGGCAATATTCCTTTGTGACCCTGATCCTTTCTTGTTGAAGAATTATTTTAGGTGAAATGAGAAATCAAGACAATTTTTTATCTTTCATGTCTCAATGTACAAAATGTAGCACAGCAAGAAGAGAAATGCTTCCAAATCTGATTACACTTAAAAACCAGTCTATAAACATGGCCTATCTGAGATATTTCTGCATAAATAGTTCTGTGACTATAAAACCATTCTCAATTCCCCCTCCACATTGGCTTCCCAGCTTATGTGAAAAGCTATTTTGAAGAGTTGGCATCAACTGATAATTCAGTAGAGAGGATAAGGGCTAAGACATCCAGAAATTCCTCACTATGGCCTCAAGGCACAGAGTGAAGCAAAATATGGTGAAGTCAAGCAAGACTGAATCTGAGCAACGGCTATATGAGAACCTTAAACTCTATTTAAATAGCAGTGAGATATGTGTCATTACAGGAATTCACCATATTGTTCAGTTTCTGGCGTTTTCCCATCACAAGTGGATTTGAATAGTTGCAATATAGGTTACAAACTTCACCTTTTTAAAAAAGCATTTGCATGTCAGTAATTTTTGTTTCGAATCTGGATTCTGCTTTTGAGTACAATAAAGTACAGTGGACATCTAAGTTTCGCATCTTAGAAGTATGTGTGTATCACAAGCATGTCACTGGAAGGATCACGGGCAAGTCTCAAGGTTAACATTCATCAATTATTAGCTTCCTGTATCTATTAGCCACTGAGAAAAGACTGTGCCTTTCCTGCCTCAAGATGAAAACAGTTTTCTACTCTTTGCATGCCCATTGAGAAACACAATTTTGTAGCTTCTGCTATCTTAAAGAACAGCAGCACATTATCTGCTACATGGGAAGCAAGGCCTCTTCCAAACCACAGTCTACAGTTAAATTATTGTGTAATTGTAGTCAGAAATAGAGCGATCTCCACTAGATGTTTCATCCTTAACTGCTATGCCTGCTAGGCATTGTTAAATCTATTCTACCTAATGTTGCCTAATAAAAAGGCAGTTTTGCCATCAGCTTTCATAACATCCTGTGGCAATATATTCCATATCCTGAATTAATTATGTGGTGTAGGAGATATTTCTTTTTGTCTGTCCAGAATCTCCTGCCAAGTAATTTTACTGGACGACCCCCAACTTTTTAAAACTGTGAGAGAGAATGAATAACTCTCTTCCAGCCGAAAGATGGGATATCACAATGGGCATCATGTCTTGTAGGAACTTGCTTTCTGCAGAGATAGAATCTGGGCATATGGTGCTCACAGAGAATGGGAAGTTCCAGGATGCAATACATAGACACATCCAGTGCCAAGTTAGTAGACAAAAGGTTTTAAGAAATAGTTGAAGGGATACAGCTGGAATCAGAGCCCTCTCCCCACCCTGTCCCTAGATTCTAAAATGTCTTGGATGGAAATCAGTTACTGAACGCATCAGAGAGAAATTGGAAGAAAAAGGGCACTACATTGCACAACTTAACACATGAAAGTGCTGAAGATTACAGATGGAATGAAATCCCACCAACGTTATACCTTCCCAAATGCCAGACTGAAAATTATATTCATGTTGAATGCAATCTAATATGTAATATTTGTTACATTAATTGGTTCATTATACTATCTCTCATGCAAACAGAAAAATAAACCTGGTATTCTTGTTAATTGTTTTATATTACCTGATTAATAAGACTGCCCTGTCATCTATTACTATTCATAACCATTTTTGAAAAATGAGAAATCTCGTAACCACATATACAAGCAAGGCTATATGCAATTTTAGACTAACAAGGTCTTTAATTAAGAAAAAAGTGTTAGATGAAGCAGATGAATAAAATGCTTATTAACACCAACCCAGTGCTTTCAGTCACTTCATGGAGCCCCTTGTGACACAATGAATTAAACCCTTGTGCCAGCAGGACTGCTGATTGACAGGTCAGTGGTTCAAACCGGGGGAGAGTGGGTTGAGCTCCCTCTGTCAGCTCCAGCTCCCCATGCGGGGACATGAGCGAAGCCTCCCACAAGGACGGTAAAACATCAAACATCCGGGCATCCCCTGGGCAACGTCCTCGCAGACGGACTATTATCTCACACCAGAAGCGACTTACAGTTTCTCAAGTTTCTCCTGACATGAAAAAAAAATGGGCATTTAACAATTAATCTCTCTCTCACATACATACACATAGCGACAGAGACAGAGGTCCCATCTATCCTGACCACTTAGATTGGCAATTAAAGTGATCAGCCCTGCAGTGGCTGAATGGTACACAGAGCTGATCTGAATTCACCTGGGGCAAAGCCACTTAAAGTGGCTTTACAGTGGGTTAACCTAATTTGAGGGGAAATCTGACTCTGCAAGGAGTTGGCTTGACCTCCAAGTTAGAGACCAGCTCTTCTGTGCTCCCTGGGTTCAAGTGGCCCAGGGACGAAGGACCTGATTCTGAGGGGTTCTTCTTCCTACTATCAGGCTGTCTGACCCACAAAGGATGAAAGGGGGGGGGGTCCCCTCCTCCTATCCTCTTTTGTGGATCACATGACCAGGTATTCGAAAGGAGGATCCCTGATTGTAAGCTAGATGGCTGTGTAGCTGATGTAGCTAGCAGTGACATTGGAGGAGGGGAGTGAAATGGCAGTGGGCACAGTGAGTCCTTATTGGGGCATAAAGTGGGCCCAATCTGGCAGAGAGAGTTATGAAGATGCCAGTTGTATAGAATGCTCTTCAATTTATCCCTTGTCCAATTTTAATTTGATTCTTATTACAGTGTTAAATTACAAAGTGATTTAATTCTTGTAATCAATGAAGCCAACTATTAGAAACCAATGTGGGACAACCTTTTTGGCTTGTTTGCCCAAATAAAGCAAAACTACTGGACAGTGTCACTCCAAGGCACATGAGAACCCATGCATTGCTGAGCAGGTAGTAATGGGAAGCATTACTCTTGACAGAGGAGTGCAGGCAAATTCACGGCCATAGCCAGTCCTATGGAGGCCTCATGTTCTTGCCCAGAATTTCACAATACTTTCTACTTTGACTGAAACATTACTGGTGACAACGGCACCAGGCTGACAAGTTGTTTTACAATGCAGTCTTTCCCAACATTGTTCTTTTAAGATGTTTTGGACTGGAAACCCAGAATCTTCTAGTCAGCTATGCCAATCCATATGGAGGATGCCAGATTGGAGGAGGATGATACTATGTATTGTTGTCATCAGAACTTTGTTCTACAACTGGATCACAGAGATTGGCACAAGAGAGGGAAACAGGAGCTTTCATCATGCCCATTCCCATTTTCTTGAAAAACTGTAATACATTTGGATCACAGTTGCTATCTTTAATCCCTAACTCAACTTTAATATTAGCTTACCTGGTGCTGGAGAGGAGAAATAAAAGAACTGTTAACAGATATTACCCTGACTACATTACCTGCTGAAACATTGACAAATACACATGAATATACACCATCCTCCTCCGGGAGTGAGTTGCATGATATCGGAAGTTGCCCCTCTTTCAAATGTGTCCAGCACAGATCTTTCAAGGCCTCACAAAATCCCCGACATGGTGGAGGTGTTATTGGAAGAGAAGCATTACACCCAGGTACCAGTAGCAAGCAGAAAAACCACTCCAAGTAGCGGTGACACCGAGATTTAAGAAGCCCCTCCCACTCATGCAAAGCAGCCTGAATTTCCTCCTCACTGCCAAGGTGCAAGTAATTCGGCACTCGGAAATGCTTCATGCCCAGGTTGTTGCAATATGACAGCTTGGTTGGTAAGGGCAAGCAGTGGCCAGCGGTTGGCGTCAATCCAGGAAAGAAGGAAGGAAGCCCTGTGCTACTATTGCTAAAACGTTGCACAGTGTAGGTTAGTAGAAACTCAAGAGAGTCAGAGTTATTGCCAGAGGAAAAATCCACATCATTAGTTGCATTTGAATTAGAAACAGAATCCCTAGAGTGGTTCTTAGTTGCATCAGCTACTACTATCCCAGAATAGTTAAAGAAGGGGTGGTTTTTAAGGTGGAGATGGGCTATATTGCCCTTAGAGAGTGATTGGTTTCGATTTGCAACAGAATGTAAGAGCCAGTTGTCTAAAGCACCCACCACCTTGGATGGAATTCCGCCATGCACCCGACTGCTATGGTTAGCCCGAGGCTCCTGCAATTCCGACACATTTGCACCAGGCAAAACTCCTTGCTGGTCTGAGGATGCTCCCCAGGTTGCCCTTGTTTCTGAGGAGGTGGTACTTTCTTGCCCTGCCCGTGTAGATTCTTGGAAAGCCACCATGGTGCCAGAGACATTATCAGCTGGTGAAAATGAGAAAGAAGAACTACCTGGAAGTGGGAAGGCAGGCTTCTTTAAGAGGACGCGTGTCTTGTTCCACAGAAGAGTGGGTTTTGTAGTGACCAAGGGAATTTCTTTTGGCTGTCCAGTTTCCAACGAGAGTTGAGCATCACCTGTAGAGTTGGCAGTAGTATTCTGGGTGCTCCCTGGCTCTGTACCTGGAGTAGGTGATGCTTTCAAAAGGTCAGCAGTTGCAGGTGCTTCAGTAGGTGCAGGTGCCACAGTGGTTGCAGGTACTTCAGTGGTTGCAGGTGCCTCAGTGGTCGTTGTCATCTCAGTAGTCTTTTCATCCCAGAGTTGAACCAAATTCCTGATGCCTTCAGCTACATTTAATATCTCAGCTCCTACTCCTGCAATATCTCCTTCTTTGATTTCAAGCTGGGAAGGTGATGTAACTGCAGGGGTACTTGTGGCAGTCGTGAAGTTTGGCCTCTTCAAGGTAGAGCTAGTCCACACTGTTCCCTTTTCCTGGGTACTGCTTTCAAGTGGGATGCTGGAGGTGGTTGTGGGCTCAGGCTTGGCAAGATGCTGTGTCGTCCACTCCGTCTCTTCTGTCTGCTCCTTAGGACTGGGAGCTTCTGAGGGAGGGATGGTTGTTTGCTCAGGGTCCCCCCAAAACCAACTCCTCCAGCCTTGTGCATTTGACAAGCCACAGGCCAGTAACAGCAGGAGCCCAATGCTGAGCTCAGCTCGAGCCATTAAAAAGTGGCTTCAGGGGGGAAATGTGCTGTGAAGCAGTGAATGGTGAATGGAAGAATTCACATTGATCTGTCCTCTGGAGCTGCAGAGTGAGGAAACATGCCGCTCTCTTCCAAGCAGATATAAAACTTGTGGAGGTGTGGCTAACAGAGTCCTCCCCTCCAGCAGCCTGCTTTCCATTAAATCAAAAACTTTTCACAGCAACACACACAGCCTATAATGCCCTTGGTTGCAACAGAGAAGGTGGTTATTATGAGCATGCCAGAAGATTTCTTTTTTAACCCAAGGCATAAGCACACATAAAGGCATACCTGGAAGCCAACCATTCACAACTGCTCTACAATTTAAACATACAGTATTATTGTTTTTCCTGCCCTCAAAGCTTGCAAAAGTATTTGGGCATGTTCAACTCCTCCCTGCCCTCAGCCAATACTAAAATAAGGAGGAGTTCTTTCTCCAGCCTGTCTGTTTATAGCTTAATTTTCAAAATCATTAACATTAGGGGAGAAAATCCAGGCTCGCTTCTTTAGAAAAGGGGTTTCTAAAGCCAAAGAAACATAGCAGAAAACATCCTTAAAGTCAACCAAGAGCCTCGAAAAAACTTCATAATTAACAGGCATCCTCCATAGGCTGTGTCTTAAGTTGCCAACATGGTCATGATCCAGTCAAAACACAGCATTTTAAAAACCAAATAATTTAACAAGACAGTTAAAGACTTGCCAGGAGTCTGTCATTCATAAGAAAAAGATTAAAGATTGCTTATATTTTGCTAGATTCTGCCCCTTGCTTTCAAGACTGAAAAAAAAATACAATACAAAAATCAGCTTAAGAATCATAGCATCATACAGTTTGGAAGAGACCACACGGGCCATCCAGTCCAACCCCCTGCCAAAAAGGAAAAACACAATCAAAGCACCCCCAACAGATGGCCATCCAGCCTCTGTTCAAAAGCTTCTAAGGAAGGAGCTTCCACTACACTCCAAGGCAGAGAGTTCCACTGCTGAATAACTCTTACCATCAGAAAGCTTTTCCTAATGTTCAGATGGAATAACCTTTCCTGTAATTTGAATCCACTGCTCCGAGTCCTTGTCTCCAGGGCAGCAAAAAACAAGTCTGCTCCCCCATCTTTATGACAGCCTTTCAGATATTTAAGCATGGCAATCATGTCTCCTCTCAACCTTCTCTTCTGCAGAATAAACATCCTCAGCTCTTTAAGCCCCTCCTCATATGGCATGGTCTCCAGTCCTTTGATCATTTCAGTTGTCCTCCTCTTGACACCTTCCATCTTGTGAAGATCTCACTTGAATTGTGGTGCCCAGAATTAGACACAGTATTCCAGATGAGATCTGATCAAAGCAAAATAGGGGGGAACCATTAATTCCCTTGATCTAAACACTAAACTCCTTTTGGTCCAACCCAAAATCCCATTGGCTTTTTTAGGCGCTGCATCACATTGTTGGCTTGTGTTCAATTTGTTGTCCACCAAGACTCCAATACCTTTTTCACATGTACTGGTTTCAAGCCAGGCATCACTCATCCTGTATCTGTGCATTTCGTTTTTTCTGCCTAAGTGAATTATCCCACATTGCTTCTTGTTGAGGTTCATTTTGTTAGTTTTGGCCTAGCTCTCTAATTTGTTGAGATCATTTTGAATTCTGGTCCTGTCCTCTGGAGTATTAGTGATCCCTTCCAATTTGCTGACACTTGCAAACTTGATAAGCATGCCCTCTAAACCTTCATCCAAGACATTAATAAAGATGTTGAACAGTACTAGGCCCAGGACCGAACCCTGCGGCACTCCTTTAGTCATTTCTTTCCAGATGAAGAGGAACCATTGGTGATTTGGTCACTTAACCAATTACAAATCCACCTAATAGTAGCATATTATACTAGTTTGTTTGCAAAAAGGTCATGGGTGACCTTGTCGACAGCCTTACTGAAATCAAGATATGCTACATCCACAGCATTCTCTGCATCTACCCAGCTTGTAACTCTATCGAAAAAAGAGATAAGATTAACCTGGCATGACTTGTTTCTGAGAAATCCATGTTGACTTTTAGGTATCACAGTATTCCTTTCTAAGTGATTGCAGACTGCTTCATTAATGATCTGCTCCAGGATCTTTCCTGGTATTGATGCCAGGCTGACTGGACAGTAATTGTTGGTGTCCTCTTTTTCCTGTTTTGAAGATATGGACAACAATTGCCCTCCTCCAGTCTACTAGGACTTTAGAAGAACAGGTAAGGTATGGAGAGGCTTCCATGGGACTCTACCTCAGTTTCTGCCACAGACATCTCCTTCCTAATTCCTGGGCATTATCACTAGACTTTCCCTAAAATCATTCAGGTCTGTCCTGGTTCCAATCTGTTGTATATTCCTTTTACATATGGCATTATATTAATGTACACAGATCCAGTCACAGTACACACATGCACAGTTTAAGAGAAGGGACACAAATGCTGGTGGCACAGATATGCTCAGTAAGTAAAGGTGATCTTCATGAACTTTCCTTCTGCATCTTGCATTAACAACTGGGTATATGACCCAAGACAGCCATCCAGTCCCTAAACTGAACCTTAAGTTGATCACTACAGATCTTCCTCATGTTTGTTTTATAAAGGAAATAAGTGTATTGTTTAAGGGTGGGAATAATATTTATGAATATTCAAATGGCAAACCATACAGATTTTGTTAACTAGTGTCATGCCTGAATCTTGTCAACACATCCTCTTCATCAAAACCTACAATAAATTTTAAACCACAACATAGAGTTGTACTTGTGGTCACACTTCAGATTTAGTCCTATACAGGGGAAAAGGTGTCTCCACTGAAGCTGTCTCACCAATTCTTGTTTCCACAACAAGCCGATTTTTTTTTCAAAATTCTATTATCACAGGGACAGACAGCAAGGTGAAATCTTCTGACCAAGGGCACAGACAGCAAAACAGACACCACGGGGGTGTTAACATTTTCCTATTCTATCCACAGCTTTAAAAAAATACACGTTTTTGGCTAGAGTCACACTTTAAAAATGTACTTGTTCTGACTTGCATACAAATTCAACTTAAAAAGACGCCTACAGAACCTATGTTGTTCGTAACTTGAGGGTGCCTGAACCCCATTTCCCACTGCTTTGCAAATAAAGACTTCTGAACCTTTAAATAACTAGGTAAAATAATTTCAGCGTGTTTTGCAATTCTTTCCTCTATACAACTCTAAAAGATGTAGGTGACCTGTTCTCTTTGGCACTGAGAACAATACAAGATTCCCAACAATTTCCCACGTTCCATAAGGTAGAGCTTGCGATACTTTTCCAACATGCTGATTTATTTGCATTCAGATTTCCTCAAGCTAGAAAGCTAGACTGAATTCCCAAAATTTATTCCGCACATACTTTCTTTGATCCATTTACTGAGCCTAGAATTTAATAAATCCATTATCTGTAAATCTCATCAAAGGCTTATAACCACTGGCCCATCCACATTGAAAGGGCATGTTCTTCAACAAGGGATGGAGATGTATTGCTAAAAATGCAAGGGCATAAGAGTGCTTCCCTCCATCCAACTGTCAAATTGGAAAGAGGAATAGCTTCATAAGACAGTACAGATAGGCCCTCAAAGGCTAAGATGACATGCAACTAGAGCACTAATCAGCAAAGGGACTAAAACATCGCCAACTCTTTTTGGCATTCCCATTTTCCTGATATGCTGCTTCCTATTAAAATCCAACTTGCCACGAGCAAAATGAAAACAAGGGGCAATTTCAACATAATTTTAAAACAAAGTAGCTTCTGTTTTATTTCTGTATAGCATGCCCATTGTGTACTCTGGGGGACTCTTATAATGAGTCAGCTAGTTCCAACTCCTCTTCTCAAGCATGAATAGATGCAGAAGATCAGTGGGGTGTATGTGTGCATGAATGGGTTAGACAGTCTGATGATAAGAGAATGGTTAACACTATGCTTTCTTTCCTGCCCAACAACATTTCAGATCTCTCTTTTCAGTGTATGCATTTGCGGATAATGTGCATCTACAGAAATGAGGTTTTGTCTTGAGGATTGGCCTGTCATTTTCTAGTTCTCAAGCAGTGCAAGGCCAGATTTTCTCTTTTCAAACAGCTCTGTGCCACTGAAGACATTAATTAATTTTTTCAAAAAAGAATTCTGATGTTTTGGAGACCAACCAATGGCCATTTTCTCTCAGGATAAATGGATGGTCATTCAAGAGCCTATGATAAACAACAGAATCTCAAGCCAAGTGATCACAATTGCTTAAGGAAATCATACTGTCAAGTTGAAGCTAAAAAGAGAGGAGCTCAGCGGAGAATTGAACGCTGTCACATTATTGAACGACAGTGGCGGTGGATATGCTACTATATTATGTTCAGATGACAGGGAGTTCTGTCGAAGGACCTTATCAGAAAGGCTCATGGATTCGCCCTGATGTATGATGAATCCATGGTCTCTTGGCAGGGGCATGGAGCAGTCGCCTCACCATGCCCTGCATCGCCTGCCTTACCTTCTTCCTTGTTTATGGGGGGAAGCATTGTTTCCCCCATTGAAGGGAAGGCAACACGGGAAGTCTCCTGTATTGCCTCCACAGCAACATGCACTGCTTCACCTCCCTTTTTGGCATGGAGCCCGACCGGAAAGTCCTTTACATCATGTGAAGGGCTCCATGCAGAAAAAGGAGGTGAAGCAGTGTACGACAGTCAAATCAGCCCATCTGATGCGGCTGTAAAAGCAGTACTTAAAAATGAGTGCAACCTTTAATTTAAAAATGAGTGCATCTAAAACTAATCATGTGTAAAATCTGAAAGTGAAATCTTAACCATGTGTCCTGGGGTTTTATTGGTGGTTGCTCCCCAGTAAATGTGCTTAAGACTCATATCAACCCAGAAAACCTTGGCCAACCCACAAAACCTTGATCAACTTACCTACAGGTCAATTTAATTACTATACGTTAATACTTATAGCAAAAGGAACCATCCTCTTTCTGCACAGAGTAGGGAAAGGTGATAAGCCATCCTGGGAGAAAATAAGAACCAATCCTCTCTACCTTCTTAACCATGCCCCCCCCCCCCCGCCACCACCACCACCAAATGCCCTCGAGTT